ATATAGATATAGATATAGATATAGATATAGATATAGATAGATAGATATAGATATAGATATAGATATATAGATATAGATATAGATATAGATTAGATATAGATATAGATATATAGATATATAGATATATATAGATATAGATATAGATATAGATATAGATATATAGATAGATATATAGATAGATAGATATATAGATAGATATATAGATAGATATATAGATAGATAGTTTATAAAGCTCAATAGCTCAATAGCTTTAGTGTAATATCTCTAAACAAGAGATCAATTCCCTTCCATTTTGTAATCCTCATGTCCTATTCCTGCTCTCTCTCAGCAGAGTCACCAGATATCTGAAGAGGCAAAAGAGGACAAAAACAATTGGAAAAGAGGACAAATGAGGGGAAAGAGGACAGGTATAACATTAAAAATTGAAAAAAGAATACTTAGCCCAGCATATAAAATGAACTTATTTTTTTCCAGCATCAGAAAGACTGGTTTTTCAATCACGGGAGTGTGCTAGAACCAGCTAGGAGGCAAAACTGTGAGATTAAGGTTTTGTCAATTACAGACAGCAGCCTAACTTTGGGAAGGTAACTAATCTAAATGAACACAGCAGAGCTTGATAACTTATGTTAACATTTATTAAAGATGTTCCCATGGAGGAAAGGTGCTCAGGAAAAGATTCTCAAACAATATTTGATTTCAAGGCTATGCCTGAGGATCAGAAGAAAAAAGGAGGCCATGTCCTCCTTTTTCCAGACACCTGATAATAATCCTACTCTCAGCAAATATCTGCAGAAAGATGTTTAGGCCATGCTGACCATCATAGAAGGATGGTAATGTTTTAGTACAGGAATGTGATTTTACTAGTTCTCTTTTACAGCAGGTGACCCACATTTTTAAAAAAACGGGCAAACTTTTCCTTAACTGAGATTAGTGGCAGGAAAGACCATTTACAGCCAATGTGATACATTTGTTTTTAAATGATGAAAAAAGATTTGCTGTAAAAGATTGCTAAAACTCTTTCCCCTTTTAAATAAACACGAATAATATGAACTATGGTAAACCCTCACAATTGCCAAACATGGCTTATCTCAAAGCAAACGACTGAAGGCAGGCTGGTAGGCAGCCTTTGCCCAACTGACAACTGTCTCCAATTTTTGTCTTGCAACTTGTTTGTTGCATGGAATTTGCCTCCCACCATTGCATTCAAGTAGAGTACTTGAATATATAAATATGTATTCAATTTCTATTGCCACCAACCTCAATGACTCTGGACAGCTTACAATACAATATGTATGCAATAGGTTGCTTGGTAATTACTTGGTCAAATCTGTTATGCACAACAAAGGAGTAGCTGTCTTCATGTTTAGCTATTTAAAATTTTGACCATTAATGAACAGGGTTGTAAGTGGACTGAAGTCAATGTGCAGCTAAATAGATACTAGGCAATCTTCCTGTGTCTAGTATCCTCTGAAAATGTAGGACTATAAATTCCATAATTTTCAAGATGCATTAGTTGGCACTGATTATATACATATAAAAGAAAGAAGCTCTTTTGAAACATCTAAACTGAAATTTAGGTCCGTGGTGCCAAACAGGTGATTTAATCCTCCCTCTGTTCGAAATTGTAGGAGAAGGAGTGGCAGAATCTGGGGGAGAGTTAAAAAAGAGATCAGCCTAAAATCCCTACGTAGCCACAAGCGCCTAAGTCTAACCTCCCTTGTATTCCATTGAACTTATCTAACACTATGCCAATTCTAACCTTTAGTTAAGAAGATTCCTGTGGAGAGGCCTGATTAGCAATAAACCAGTTTAACTGGACTCTTCACTGTGGACCTGATCTTTCACACCTGACATTAATCTTCTCAAGGGCCAATGAGAATTCAAGAAAAGTTGGATTTCGTTCACTTGTGGCTATGTAGAGATTCTAGGCTGATCCCTTTTAAACTCTGTCCTCAGGTTCCTCCTACAGAAATAACCTTATCCCATCTTCACTGTTATTCAAAACAATATGAAGGCTAACTTATACATGATATTCTGTGGAACCCACAATTGGCTTTATCCTTCTTTGATTGTGACTCACAGATCTATATTTTCTGTTCATTAAAACAGGAGAAACTTTCAACTGTTCTACTCTAGATGACAGAATCTGAGAATATACAAGACTAACTTTTACATCCCTTTGGAGGTTTCACAACCCCTTATTCTCCAGAATGAATCATGGACTTGAGTAGGCTTCCAGGCTGGAAGAAGATAAACCAAGAGCACTGAGTCACGCATAGGTCTGACATCAGATCTTTGCAATTGGGAATAGTTTCTGCATCCCCAACTCTTAGAGAGATTTTTGTCTACCAATCTGTTGATTAGAAAAGCTATTATCTATAGACTCTGTGGGTCCTATTTATTTATATAATTTATAATGACACTTCTCCCACAAAAGTATCTTTGGACAACATACAAAGTAAGGAAAAAAACAATAACAATCACCTATCCTATGAATCCTATGGGATTAAACATTAAATCAAAACAATAAAAGCTACATTTCCTTAATCTCCTGATCCAAATGCTTAGGGGACTAGCCAGAATTAGGAGCCCTGTAAAAGGCTAACAGGGCCTAGCATTTGGATTTCAACAGGAATGCTGTTCCATAGAAAAGGTGCAGTTCCCAGATTCAACATGATGGCAGCGTTTGATGGAAGGAATTCCATGCATGCTCTCTCTTCTAACTGGCATCATGATGTTTTGTAGTGGTACCAGAGCCTTCAACTGTGAGAATTAAATTGGAAAGGATCTTCCAAAGCAACATCTCATTAAGATCTCAGGAATTCTAAGGAGCAGCAGGCAAACAGCATTATCAGCCAAATCAGTTTTTCACTCTCTTCTGTTTGTACTATTTATTATTCTAAGGAGCCCTGGTGGTGCAGTGGTCCATCCAAGGTCAGTAAAATCAGAACCCAGATTGTTGGGGACAAGATGCAAACAATGCCACTACATTGTAAACAGTCCAGATGTGCTATAAAATTATGGGACGGTATATAAGCCTAAATTGCTAATTTGTGGTTAAATCTGACCAGTTGCTCTAATTTAGTGATGAGGATGTTTTAATGGTAGTTAGTAGTAATTCTGTTGATAGCTCTATAGCAAAGGAATATACCACAACTTTCCTTCAAGTAGCTTGGAGACGTATACATAATATTCCCTTTCCCAATTTAATATTCATGACAATCACCTTGTGAAATAAACTGGGAAAACAAGTAGGAACTGTCCTGAAGAAATCCAATGAGTTTCTATGGCTGAAGATGGCCTTATTTCTGGATCTCCTGTCCAACACCCTACACTCCTACATGCCCTTGGCCATTCAAGCTTGGGAATGGTGAAGTCCAGCAGGCTTAGCTTATAGCATCTTAAATAATCCACAGTACTGACCTGATATGGGGATGCTTCATCTTCTGTAGCAAGCAGTGTGAAGAGTATAGGGAGGACAAAAGAAAAAGAGAACATTATGAGTAAAAAAAAAAAAAGAGAAAGAGAAAGAAACGTAAAGCACACTTTTCTTTGACACCATAGGCCCAAAAGGTAAAAACGATAGCTCTTGACTATGTTATACAGATAGTCTTTGACTTACAACCACAATTGGAACCAGAACTTCCATTGCTAAACAAAGCAGTTGTTAAGTAAGTCATGCCTGATTTTACAACCTTTTCTGCCACAATGAATCACCGCAGATTAAGTGAATCATATGATTGTTAAAGGAAGCCGGCTTCACCCATTGATTGTGTTTGTCAGAAGATGGCATGGAAGCCAGTTACAACAATCCTAAATACATACTGGGTGGCAAGGGTTCAAATGTTGATTACATGACCATGGGGATGCTGCAACAGTTGTAAGTTCAAGGACCAGTTATAAGCCACTTTCAGTGCTTCTTTAACTTGCTAAACAAAATGTATACCAAACTCGCATTGGTGTTATAGCTTAGTTCATTTCAAAGGCTAAGCAGCTGGGCTGATGGTTTCTTCAAATGTAACTATTTCAAGGTGGCACACCACATGCCAATTTTTGAGTGAACGCCTCCACATAGGCAGTTACATTTGATAATATTTATATTTGTGTGTATATATCCATACAGCAGACATTCATAGCCAGGAGTAGAATTGTGTCAGCTGCACCATGAGGAGCCAATTACACTTGTGACTTGGTTGCTGCAAAGAATTTTCCTCCCACCATTAGATTCAACTACTTAGATAGGCTAAATGTTCATTTATGTTTAATAATCACTTGGTTAAATCCATTCTTTGCAGCATGGGAGCACCTGGGTTTAGCTGTTGAGAATGTAATCCATTAAGGAACTAAACCATAAATGGACTAAAGTCCGTATCCAGCTAAATAAATAAGTAAAAAAAGCCTCACTCTCTCTCCCCCCCCTCCCCCCCAGATACATCCACAGAGTGGTTTGAGATATTTTTGTGTGTGTTTCTATCACTGATATATGGCATTTGTGATCAAATAACCCTTTTAGGTTAAAAGAGGGGGAGGGGTTAGAGCAGGGGTCCCCAACCGCCGGTCCGCGGACCAGTACCGGTCCGCGGAACAAGTCTTACCGGGCCGCTGGTTGCTGGGCGCCGCCATCTTTTTTTGGTAAAAAAGTGCTTCCGGTGAGCTTTTCCGGGTAGAAAGCTCACAGGAAGCACTTTTTCATCAAAAAAAGATGGCGGCGCCAGCGCTTCCGGTGAGCTTTTCTGGGTAGAAAGCCATTTCTACCCGAAAAAGCTCACCGGAAGCGCTGGCGCCACCATCTTTTTTGACGAAAAAGTGCTTCCGGTGAGGTCACCGGAAGCACTTTTTCATCAAAAAAAGATGGCGGCGCCCAGTTGATGCCGGTACCGGGCCGCGGCGCCCAGCTGATGCCGGTACCGGGAGCGGCGTCAAAAAGGTTGGGGATCACTGGGTTAGAGGACATGTTGCCTTGTGTAGCCCCGAAGCGATAGGTTGCCAATTTCTTCACAAGAAAGAAAAGCACTGTATCACCCACACAGTGAAAAGCCACTCTTTTAACACCCAACTCTTAAATATGAAACATAGCCAACTGAAAGCAAATTCAGCTGAAATTAAGTTAAAAAAATAAACTGTTTATTCATTCCCGTGTCTGTATAAATCTCTTAGCCAAACAAACTTTGCTGGAAAAAGCATTAAGGAATGCTCCCTGGGAGGAATCAGGCTATGGAATAAGTAAGGCCTGTTCTGAACACCATGCCTTTCCTTGTATAACAGCAGGGCTATTGTTCAGAGAATGGCTACAGAAGATACCCTTCCTGGTTCCTGGAGCTAAACTTTCAGAACAAAAAAGAAAGAAAGAAAAGAAAAACCTGCAGGGATAAGCTTTACCGAAAAAAGTATATGCATTTTGCTAGGAGGAGAAGTTGCTTCAGTGAGTAGGAGGAGAGCAAATGCTTGCCTATATAGATCTCTCTCTCATTTTTCTCTTTTCAAATATAGAAATGCTTTATTTCTGAATTGGTTTCTCTTTGGCCCAGGTTTAGCAGCAGAAACATATTCAAAGTAAATCCCATTGACTCCTAAAGGGCTTACTAATAGGAAATCACTGTCACTAAAGTCACAGTGAACTAAAGCCAAAGACATGACTGGTTTTGCGTAACACATTTAGCTAAACTCAAACAACATGAATTCAAGATTCTTTTTGCTTATCATGCTAAGCAATAAAGCTGGTGAAGGGACAAACTAACACTTAAATCTATATAAAATCGCGCACACTGGCACAAAATGGCACTGAATAATCAGGAAGAGAGTCTTGTACAAATGGCGGACAGCAAAATGAAAATGTTGCTTGTATGTGAGTATTAAACAAAGAAGAGCAAACCCCATACTTGGGATAATTAGAAAAGGAGTTTAAATAGAGGCGCTAATATATGCTGTGAGGGAAATCTATAGTAAACTCCCTGTGAGAAACTCTGATTTTTCTTCAAATACAAGTAGGCCTCAACTTATGACTATGATTGGGACCAGAATTTCCATCGCTAAGCAAGGTGATGGTTAAATGAGTTAAATTTCTGATTGTGCAGCCTTTTTTGCAACCATTTTAAAGCACTTGTTAAGCGCTTCACATGGTCATTAAGTGAATCCAGTTCCCCCCATTGATGGAAGCCAGCTGGGAAGGTCACGAATGGCAATCACATGACTCCAGGATGTTGTGGCTATTGTAATTATATGACATTTGCCAAGTGCCTGAATTTTGATTATGTGATGTGGGTAATGTTGCAATGGTTATAAGTGCGAGGACTGGTGATAAGCCATTTTTTTCAGTGCCTTTGTAATTTTGGTCACAAAGCGAATGGTAACTTATAAGGCAAAGACTGCCTATAGAAGAATTTAGAGTTGGAGGTACAAAAACGGGCAGTCAAAATGATTGTAGGACTGGAGCAACTCTCCTATATTGAAAGACCACAGCAATTTAGTGTAGAAAAAAAGGAAGATAACATGAAAGAAGTATATAAAATTATGTATACCACAAATAATGTGAAAAGAGAAGTACTTATGCATAATCAGTTTGCAACTCAGGATTATCTACCCCCACTAAATATTCAGAGATTCAGGATCAAGAAAAGGAAATTCATATTTATATTGTACATAGTGTAGCTATGGAATAGCTGCAAGCAGCTTTCATAATGGCGACCTATCTGGGTGTTTTTTAAATAAGAACTAAATGGTTTTGTGGACTTGCAGGCTATCAATGGCTAGCAGTAGATGTTCAAAGTAGATATTCTGGAGCAAGGGTCTTTAAACTTGACAGCTTTAAGACTTGTGGACTTCAACTCCCAGAATTCCTCCTCCAGTCATGTTAGCTCAGGAATTCTTTTATTGCCCTCCAACACATCCCAATTTATATATCAGTTTAGTCCCTCAATGGATCTGATTAAGTGAGTTGTGGTTCAGAAAACCTTTTGTTTCTTAATAAAATGTATTAGTCTGAAAAGGTGCTATTATATTCCTTCTGATTAATGGCTGCTAGCAGTAATACTGATGGCTATTTACAACATCCTGAATTATATTAGCATGCCTGAAATATTGGTTGCTGCAAAGCAACAGTAGCAGAATCTTCCAAGATGAATCCAGTGGGCAATTATAATATTTGATATAAAGTTCTGGACAAGGTGATCTATAGCCTGATCCAAGGGGTCTCTTATGTTCATACTGCCTCCTCTATGGCCTGTCAACCAAGTTAGCACATTGCACAAACACAGGATTCTGGCTTTGCCTGCCTGGAAGAAGCCAGAGAATGAAACCATTAAAAACTAAATGGAGCCACAGCTTAGTTCCCTGTTTATTTCAGGCAGACAAAGCCAAACCCCCATGTTTCAATTTCATGCTAGGCTTTGCTAAATAAGCTCTGTGTATCCACTCACAAGCCAGGGACACATGCAAATATGCCCCTTACTGAACTAGTGAAAGGAGAGGAATCTGAAATCACTTTACATATGCAACCTATGAAATAATTTTCAGAAATATACAGTTTCTATTTTTGACACATTTGACAGGTGGATAAAACCAATCTACACCTGAAAGTTCAATTGAATTGATTTTTTTTTGCTAGAAGTCTATGCACAGGAATATGCTCAACTAATGGTTATCATCTGATTATAGTTAGACAAGGGTCAATAGCACACAAGGGATGGTTAGATTTAGTTTGTTTGTGCCTATGTAAGGATTCTAGCCTGATTCCTCTTTTTACTCCTCCCCCTGACTCTGCCAATCCTTCTTCTACAATGTTATTTCATATGGGACTAAGAGCTAATTTTACATAGAAATTGTAGGTGTTGCTGATAAACAAGATGCTCTTAAATGTTGTTTGTAAATGCAATAATCAAACAATCCCAGAAGAAAATATCAAAATCTAGAGTTGAAAGAATTGAATGTAGTTTCTCTCATGAAGATACTGAAAATAAGCATTTGATTTTAAAAAAAAAAGAGTTCGACATTTCTTTGCAACACTGCTCTGCCCCTAGCATCTCTTGGTAAAGAACTTTCAGGATCATTACTGGATAAGCTTCTGGGTACAAACCAATCCAAAGTAACAGGAATAAGGATGTAAAACTGAAAGCCTGTGGCCAAATTTGGCCCACTGGGTGCTTAGATCTGGCCCACAGGGCTGCCCTAAATGAAGGACCAGCCCTTAGTGCCTCTGCCAATAAAAACAGAGCTCAGGAGGGCCATGGGCAGCTCTCTGGAGCTCCATTTTCACTGGCAGAGGGTTGCAGGAGGCTATTGCAGCCAAAAACGGAGCTTGGGAGCCCATTTTTGCTGGCAAACTGCTCGGGCTATCATAGGTGCCCCTGACATGAGTGATGCCAAGCTGACCACACCCACTCTGGCGATGCCCACCCCAGCCCCCCAAGGTCAAACTTAACCCTAATATGGCACTCAGTGAAATCGAGTTTGACACCCCTGCCTTAGATCAATATTTTTCAAACTTGTCAAGTTAAACACATAGATTTCAACTCCTAGAATCATCAGCAGGATGCTAGATGGACTAGCATTCTAACCTGGTACAGCAGCTGAGTGTATCTGTGCATATTCTTGTACCCTTTACTCCCCACACCCAAGCCCTCCATTCCTTTCTTCTGGTTTGATAAAAAAAATATCATGACTCACCGGGGGAGGAAGTTTCTGAAAGCTGGAAAAGCAAAGCTGGGGTTGGTCTCCGACGACGGATCTAGAAGAGAAATCAAATAGAAGTTTTATTTTGCTTCTCCCAATAAGAGATGGGAGAAATGTGGAGGAAGAGTCAATGCACAGTTATGACTTCCCCTATCCCTATTGTTTTTCCAGGAGAAATGAATAACAACTATGTATCTACCCATGTAGATTGTTTGGAATCTGTGACTGGGAACACTTTTCTGTACTAAAATAAATTGCCCAGCATTTTTTCAAGATCTTACGGCTTGTGAGGCAAAATTAAGATGTTGCTTTCAGGATGCCTTTCCATTCCACCCGGAATATCAGCCATCACAAGAAAAAGGAATATGTGATTCCTATTGCCAAAATTCTATGGCTATAACTCCTTGTGCCACATTCATGCCTTGAACATACAGTCATAGCCTGCAGCATTGGGGGAAGCATCCAGTAGCTGCATAGTTGGATTAAGGGTATCCCTTTTATGCCAGAGGATCTGACTTGCTGATCTCATTAGCTATCCAGAGGAGGAAAACATGGAGTGTGGGAAACAGAAAAAGACTTCCAGTTCCACTGTTACTATCTTTTTGTTGTTGATTCTACTCCACTTATGAAAAAATGTGGAGGGATATGAAGGCTGGTGGGATAGTCTATGGACTTTAGCCACATTACTCCACAGACCAACATCTCCAAACTAGGGTTCTCCAGATTTGTAAATTGTAGTTCTATTTACCTGCACTTTTGATATCTGGGAGTAATGGAAATCGGCAACTCAGCACCCCTTGAAGGCTGCAAGGAGGGGAAATCTATAGTATCAACAATGGCAGTAAAATTAAAGTACTATATGTCTTGGGCCTGATATGCGAGCTGAACTCCTTCTTGTTAAATGGCAGGCGATAGAGAATGCGGAAGGCTCCAATTGCTTAACTTCTTTATTTCATTGTAACAATAACCACACGGTAGTCATGATAGCTCCTTTTACAACAGAGCTGCTCGCGGCTACAACCAGGAACAGCTCTTTAATTTCCCACCGCCACAGACCAACCAATCATTGGGGAGCATGTAAATATATCTAACACCCCTCCCCACCTGGTCCAGTCCACCCAATCCTGTTCCCCCCCCAAAGCACATACTTGTTATTGCTTGTGTGGGCGGGGTCTCCCCCTTCCTCTCGATTTGAGTTAGTTCTGCGTGAAGGGTCTCCCCTTCCTCTCTGGGTGTGTTACGTCTGTGGGATGGGTCTCCCCCTTCCTCTCTGTTTACGTCTGTGACCCCCCTTGCCCCTCGGGTTCTTAGTTGGTCTATATGTCTTTTCCAACTTTGGGCATCCATTGGGTTGACCCTGTAAGAACGGGGCCTGGTTACCTGGGCCACCATTGCCGGTACCCAGAGAGGGTCCCCTGTTAGGTTTTTAGCATAAACTGGGTCACCCATTTGGAACATCCGGCATTTGCTGGATGAATCTAGTGGCCTGTCTGGATTGTATATGGGGTGTAATCTGTCTAGGTGTGATCTCAGCTTTCTTCCCGTGAGTAGTTTGGCAGGGCTTTTATTTGTTGTTGCGCTGAGTGTTATGTGTATACTTAATAGCTTATCTATTTTTGCTTGCATGTCCCCTGGCCCTAATTTCTGGAGGGTCTCTTTTGTGTACCAGACCATGTGTTCCACTTGTCCATTCGTTGATGGGTGTCCCGATGCTGATAGGGCATGCCATATCCCATTCTGTGCTAGGTACACCTCAAACTGGGTGGCCATGAACTGGGGCCCATTGTCGGATACTATTATGTCTGGCAGCCCATGTGTGGCAAATAGTTTTCTTAGTTTTATAATGACTGCCTCTGTTGTTGTGGACTGCATGATGCTGACTTCCAGCCATCTAGAATATGCGTCCACTACTATAAGAAATGTGTGTCCCTTTACTGGCCCTGCAAAATCTATATGTACCCTTGAACATGGACCCCTTGGTGTTTCCCACTCACAGTTGGGTGCTGTGGGAGGTGCTGGCCTGGTTTCCTGGCAGGCCTTCCAGGCGTCTATTTCTTTATCCATCCCTGACCACCACACATAGTTCCTTGCCAGGGATTTCATTTTAACTATTCCCGGATGCCCTGCATACATTTCCATTATATAATCCCTTAAACTTTCAGGAATTATTACCCGATCCCCCCACAGTACGGACCCCTTTAGTATTGATAGTTCTATTTATCTGTTCCTGAATGGTTTAGTCTCTTTGGCTGTCTCTCTCTCAGGCCACCCTCTCCCTATCCAGTTCAAAATGCATGCCAGAGTTTTGTCTTTGGCCATTGCTCTCATGATGTCAGTTGCTGTTGCTGGTGTTTGTTGAAATGTCTCTATCAGGAGCGTGGATGTGGTTGGTGCTGGGTCTTCATCCAGGTTGGGTAGGGGGCATCGACTGAGTGCGTCGACATGGTCAATGTTTTTTCCCGGTCGGTAGATTAAGTTGTAGTTGTAGGCAGCCAGGAATTCTATCCAATGTGTCATTCTGGGCGACAGGATGTTCGGTGTGGCTCTGTCTCCTGTGATGATTCCGAATAGTGGTTTGTGGTCAGTGACTAGTGTAAACTTCCTTCCGTAGATGTATTTGTGGAATCGCTTGATTCCGGTGACTGCGGCTAACGCTTCTTTGTCTAGTTGGCTGTAATTTCGCTCCAGTTTGGATAATGTCTTTGAGTAGAAGGCTATGGTGGCTTCGTTTCCATTCGGTTAGATGCGGCTGATGATCGCGCCAACCCTGAACAGTGATGCATCACAAGTTAATATTAATGGTAGGGTCTCGTTGTACTGGATTAGTATGCAGTCTGAAGTAATTATGTTTTTTTTATTTCTTGGAATGCCGCTTCTTCTTTTTTCTCTTAGGTCCAGGCTGCCTTCTTGTCAAGGAGTCTGTGGAGTGGCTCCGCCACTGTTGCCTTCTGTGGTACAAATATATTGTAAAAGTTAATGAGACCCAGGAAGGCTTGCAAGTCTGTTTTGTTGGTTGGTGGGCTTCTTTGATTGCTTTAATTTTACTGTCTGTGGGGTGGATCCCTTCACTGTCTATTAGATAGCCTAGGAATTCTACCCTGTCGGTTGCTAGCTGGCATTTTTCTTTTTTTACTTTTAGCCCCACCCCTTTGAATTGGCTTAGGACTTCCCTTAAACGTTCTTGTAATTGTTCTTTGTCCTCTGCTGATATGAGGACATCATCAAAGTAAGGCACCACCTCTTTAATCCTTTGCAATAGCCATTCCATGAGACTCTGGAATAGCCCCAGGGCAACACTGACCCCAAATAGTAGGTGATTACATTTGAAAGCCCCTCGGTGTGTTACGATTGTCTGTGCTTCTGCTGTCTCAGTGTCTACTGATATTGTTGGTTAGCTTGTGTGAGATCAAGCTTTGTGAAGATCTTCCCCTGGCCCAGGGAGTGTAAAAGATGTTGTACCACTGGGGATGGGGTACATACTCTGTTGTAGGACGCAGTTAAGGGTTGCCTGATAGTCAGCACAGATGCGCAGAGATCCATCTGGCTTTATAGATGTGATGATAGGTGTTTCCCATTTTGCATGGTCTATGGGTTCTAGGATTCCTTGGGCAATAAGCTTGTCTAACTGCTCGTCTATTTTGGGTTTAAGTGCAATGGGACTCGCCTCGCTTTTAGTCTGACTGGGGCTATGTTTGGGTATAGGTTAAACGAAGTAGGGGACCCCGAGTTCTTGCCCAATTTTCCGTCAAACACGTCCTGGAATTCCTCCATCAGTTTGTCTTCCCATTCGCTTTTGGTGATGCTGTATATTCCAGTGAAATCGATCCCCATAGGCTTGAACTACTCGAATCCCAACAGACTTGGCCAGTCCCAGTCGACCACAGTTAATGGCAGGATTCCAGAGTAGTTTTGGAAGGTCACTCAGAATTTCCCTATACCAATGATGGGAATCTCGGTCCCTTGATAGTCTTTTAGGATTAGCCTCTGTTTGCGCAACTGGTCTTGTGTCAGATCGGGAATTACACTTTTGATGGTGTCCCACGATACCATTGACAGATAAGATCCGGAATCTACTTCCATCCAGCATTGTTTACCTTCTATCATGACTTGTACGTGGACCTTCCTGGTGTTTGCTGTGCTGGAGTGGCCCACTGTCATGGTCTAGTGCATTTCACTCCTTGTTGCAGTTGACTCATTGTTCCGTTGGCTCCGGCTGAATTGGCTCCGTCGGTTCTTGGGTTGATTTTCTTGGTTCCTTGGAGGTGTGCCTTGCCTCGGCCTTCTGCTGTTGGGCTTGAATGCTCGGCATGCTCTTGTGATGTGTCCTCTCCGCTTGCATCATTGGCAGATGGCGTCACAGAAACGGCATTCCGATTGGAGGTGATTTCCTTCGCAACCCGCACACCAAAATTCTTTCTGCTTCCCCTCTCAGCTTTTTTGGCACCTTTCTTAACATAGTTGGTTCACTTCCTCGTCATTGCCCAATCCCGACTCGGACTCGGGGTCCTTATGGTGAATGGAGTGGTGCCCTTTTGAGGGGGCTGCAGTGTCTTATTCATCTTCCTCATGGCTGCGGCGGATTTCTGGGCTGCTTCTGTGGCTGATGCTTCTTCGATGGCCTCCTTTAGTGTTATTTTAGGTTTTGTGAGGAGGTGGCTCTGTAGTGTCAGGTCCCTGAGTCCCAGGAGTACGTGATCCCTCATCGCCTCGTCCACATTCAGGAATTTGCATGCTCCGGCAGTGTCCCTCAGGCTCACAACAAAATCGTTGATGCTCTCTCCATCCTTCTGGTCTCTCCAGTAGAACTTGTGCTTCTTGATTAGGCTGGATACCGGTGGAGTGTAATGGGTTCTCAGAAGTCTCTCTATGTTTGGCCAGGCCATTGTTTTTACATTGCTATGGAGCTGATAGAGCTTTAGCCTTTTTGAAAATGGCAGGGCCACAATGTGTGAGGAAAATGGCTTGTTTCCTCTGTTCTGAAATGTTCATTAGGTCGCTGCTTTCCAGGAACATCTGGAATCGGTCAACGTAGGATTCCCAGTCCTCGGTCGTCAGGTCAAATGGTGCATGTGGTGTGTTGTTTCCAGCCATGTTGAGTTCTTTGTCCAGCTTGTAGCCACGTGTTTGTGGTCCCACCTTCATCGCTAGTGTTAAATGACTTCAATTGTTCTGACCTCAAGCTGATTCAAATGACAGAATCTGTTTTGAAAACACTTGGTAAACCTCGAATCAAATATTCCCCTACAACTGTCTCATGTTCATACAACAAATTATTTCAGTTGCTATGTATATTGTTTTTCTTTATAATGTGTTTTTATTTTAATTGCAGTATATTTTTGAATTGTAAGCTGCCCAGAATCATTGATTGAGATAGATGGATATAGAAATTAAAAAATAAACAAAGGCATTTAAACAAGTCAGATACAGAGCTAGTGGTGGAATTTATACACTTTACTCAACTTCGCTATTTTTAATCATGTGTAGTTAGATTTTGGGTTTTTATTGTACAGTTTACTATGTTCTATAAAACTATCCCGCTTGGTGAGTTTACAGTTCAGTGAGCTGGACAATAAGCTAATTAGTAACCAAGTTCAGCATATTGACATGAACACAACTACCAGGCCATTTTGAGCAGAGGACTGAGCCTCATTTAACAGCCTAGATATTAAATCTATTTTAGCTATCTTCTGACTCTTTACTTTAAACAGCATATGCACCAAAGTGAAAGAGAGAGAGAAAAAATCAAACTGTCTGGCCTTCAAATATAAAAAAATAAAGCATTTTGACATTGCGTGGTCTTTTTATCCCATTCATTACAAATTTGGCATCCTTCCTCCTATGTTCCTGTGTGTATGTATTTACCAGTGAGGGACAATATATGTTCAGTCTTTATTGATTGGGTGCAGATACATTATCATACCTGGATTTTATTCACAGCATTAGCATCTTCTACCATCCTACTCTCCTTTTTCTCTGAGGAGTTACATATTGAATTCAGTCATAAAGTGGGTGAGGTAGATGGGTTAGCTTAATTTGAACCAAGCTTTGTAACCATGCTTTAGCACAATTTTTTAATCTAGTTTTAACAGGTGAAGTTAAACTAGTGTGATATTGCAACTATGGCAGACCAGTGAGGGTATGTCTAGTTCCATAGATAACATAACGATTGATAATGTTTGCATGATAGCCAATGATAAAGCATGAACTCACCATGTCCCCAAAAACAAACGTTAGATTCCATTGTTCTTCTAATACACAAATTCTACTATTTTAATTCTATACACATCCAAAACATGACAAGTTATTTATATTTTGCAAAAGTGTAACCTTGGTTGCAGATCCATGACCAAATTAAAAAATCTCCTGCTTGTTATGAGAAGGCCAGGGCCCAAAAGAGCCTCAAAGCTGAATTCTTGGTCCTGGGCTTTGGTCTAGTGGTAGGATTCAAAGTTTTTTTACTACTGGTTCTGTGGGTGTGGCATGGTGGGCCTGGCAGGGGAAGGATACTGTAAAATTTCCAGTCAGAGGTGGTATTTGCTGATTCTCTGAACTACTCAAAATTTCCACTACCGGTTCTCCAGAACTGGTCAGAACCTGCTGAATACCACCTCCGCTTTGGTCGCACTATATCTTCCTTAATGTCCATTTTTTTGATATAGCCATTTCACCAGAAATCAAAATTTTAATATAGTGACTTCTTCAATGATGACTGGGATGTGATAGGAATTTAATCTAGTATAGTTAGACATTATCAGGTTGAGGAGTTAGGAATTATGCATTTATTACAAGAGGTGAGCCGACTTTTTCAAAGCATTTTTCACCAGTTGGTGTGAAAATCTATTCAGGAATTATAGAGATCACATTAGCGAGTGTGAAAAGCTATGAGTCTGCATCAGATGTGAGAACTTGCATATAAGAGGTTTCTTACTGTGTAAAAAAGTTTGAGCAAGTGCAGACTTTAGATGGTTGACTGTATATAATTACTATAAATTTGCCTCTGCGCATCTATAAGAAAAGATCTTGTGTCCAGCTGTGACCAATATAGATCTATAAACCAGTCCATGAATTAGAGGTACTATTACAAAAGAAAGGAGTACTGTATTTTTCTCATTCTCTAGGTTCATGGAAGTTTTCTGACATATATTCACAGATTTGTCTTTCTGTTTATTTGTTTATTCATGCTATACAAATATGAAGATCCATACGGTGTTAAGAAATGTAATAAGTGTTAAGCAATGAATTATTTATTTACCTGGTTGCATTTACAATCTAATATCCCCCTGGAAAAAAAGCTTCCCAAAGTGACTTACTAAAAGTTAAAAAAAAATTATAATAAAACCAATTAGAAAGCAAACAAGAACATTCACAGAGTATGATATAAAAGAACACTAACCACAAACAGGAAACATGTATGGTTTAATAATCACCTTATATTAACTCTACCTATTTGAGAACTCTACCTATTTGGAAGTAAATCTAAAGCAGTTTCTGGAGATCTTGTTTTCCTCTGTGGGCCAATGCTTTGGAAATCCAGTTTTTAATTAACCAAAATCCCAATGATTCTAAGCACTGCTAAGTCACCTAAGTGCCCGCAAGTGGCATGTGTGTTTAAGTTTTTATTTAAACAGCAGTCATTGCATTGGATATACTTCTATGCCTAATAAACAGAAAGATTTCAGAAGAAACTCTTCAGAGGAAGGGAAGGAAAGGAAATTTACCATTGTTACTTTCTCAACTTCTTTCCATGCCTCGAACCCCCCCCTCCCCCTTTCGTTGCCCTCCCCACATTGCTCCTTCCTTACCATTTCCACTGTACGGGGATCCAGCTGGCTGGGCGGCGTAGGTACCGAAAACTGGATTTTCTTCCGCTCCTTGGGGTCCATCACGAAGTCCGGGAATCAGACAGCCTCCTACTTCCCACAATAAAAACTCTCCCTCTGGATTCCCTCCCTTTGCCTCTTTTCAGTCCCCCAGGATCCCCTTAGCAGCAGGAGCTTCCCGGTGCCAACTTCCTGCGCTGCAAAAGCAACTGAAGGTGGCAGAGCTCAACTCTCCTTCATGGCTGCGTTCGGGGAGGCTGGAGGTAGCGATGGGAGGGCAGGCGAAGAGGAGGCGGCAGGAGTGGGGGAGAGGAGGGGAGAGGAGGGGAGGGAAGCTTGGTTTATTGCCAGCTGAAGCCTGAATTATTGAGTCCTCCCGAGGGGGCAGGTAGGCATCAGGAATCTGGCTCCTAAGAAGCCCTCAGCTGGACGCCTATTAAAATGATGCTACTCGAAAGAGATCAGTAGCTGTCCGTCTTAGCCCGTTCCGAAGAGCAGCAGAGTGCTACAGGAGGGAAAAGTTAACCAAGAAACTGTAGCTTTCTTGGCAAGTCTTCATCAAGCCCCATATCTTTATTTCCCTGCCCCGTCCTCCCAATACAGTGCTCCCCACCCCCGCCTTTTCTTTAGGTTCCAGTCCCAGGAGATTAACGATTGTATTGCAAGACATTTGAAACCACAAACAGCCAAGAACTGTAGAGCTAGAAGTGACCAGATGAATTGCCTACTCCAATGCATTCAAATCTTGACAACTTTAAAATATGTGAAGTGAAGTTCTCAGAATTGCCCAGTCAGCATGGGAGTTGAAGTCCACAGGTTTTACAGTTGCTAAGGTTGGGACAGAATGGGTTAGTCCAACTCTTTCTAAAGTGTAGAAAACCAGTTAAACTATTTTGAGAAGCAGCTTTTTTTAAAAAAAAAATTATCCAGTAATGGAAAGCCAAAAACCTCAATTGATAGAGTATTCTACTGTTGGACTGATTTTACAATCAGGAAGGTTTTCCCTACACTTAAATAAAATCTAAGGAACTGCAATTTGAATATCTTATTTCTGATGTTGGTTTGTGCCCAGGAATCTTGTAGCTTCTGAAGAAGAGCAATGGCTTGTATCAAAAATCCTCCACTTGATTACCAGCTGGACTACAGCTTCTGTGACTCTACATAAATGCTTGTATTCACATCATGTAGGAGTGAAAATATGATCAGTGAAGTCAAAAAGAAAACAGCCATGGCTTTTTGCAGAATAGCTATTGAGTGACAATGTAATTTGCATTTATGAACTAAAATATGAATAATTGTCCAACCCATTATCTTCATGAAGATAAACTTCTTCATGAAGTGAAGATCATCTCTTTCAAGGAATCACTGGTTTAAGATTCTTTGTTTAAGAATGGCCATCTTAAGACTAGTGGCTAATAGGCAGGGAAAGGGAATGTGTTTCTCCCTTGGGAAGACTGCTTTTCAATCTTGCTATTGCTAATACTTGATTTGGTTGTCTACAGCGAATTTAGCTTGCTTTTCTCCAAAAGGAAACAGGTGAATGCATTTATGAGCCTTGAGAATCTCTGAATATCTGTGGGATATCCTATGTAAGTCCCCTATGGGCTTTTTGATTCAATAATTTTTGAACAGATTTAAACTTTTGGAAAATTAAGGACTATGCTGTGCAGGAGCATGGTATCTCTGGCAGCATTTAGGATGTTGGTCAATATAACCAGCAGAGATATATATGCAACAGTCCTTGTAATCAAGTATCTCACCCTTTTGACTAATGTTGGACAGGATATGTTCACAAAATGTACATTTTAATTTCTTTCATTGGGACACACTTGTGATGTGAACCTGGTACAGCTTTCTGTGTTAGACTGGCAATTTTCATATTGTTAAATCTGAACTTCAGAGAAAATTCTGCCAGGTACTTAGAGGACTCTAATTTGCAAGATATTCACACAAGATGACTTGGTGTCATTTCTGATCCCAATCCCATCTTTTATTCCTTGTCTGATGTGATTTCAGTGTTCTCTGAACATCTTACAAATTCCCCACTAAGGTAACTGAGTAAAAGCATAGTAATATACAGATATTTGTCTTGTTGGAGGAAATATCCTTCTAGGTTCAGTTCCAAGTGGGGAAAAAGACACTGGAAACATGGAGGCTGTTTGGAAAGATGGTTTAATGGTGAACAGGACCACATGGCTTGGTGCTCCAAAGTGAAAAGGATGATCACATCTTCAAGATGTTGGGTGAAGGAAAAGAAGGGCCAAGATGCTGAGAGATCCTTAGTTTTATACCCTCTGTTGGGTCCCACCTTAGCGTTTCCTGTTCCTGTGTAAGAAATGTATCCCATTGGCTGTCAGACTCCCAGGGGCGGGAGTCTTAGCTAACTTTGTAGGCTTTGTCTGGACCACATGACTTCACCTGAGTGCTGGCTGGTGCAATCTTCCCAGGCCAAGCAGTGATATGGGTAGAGGTCTTTGTTATGTAGAATACTCTGACCCAGACCATAATGGCCTGCCCATTAACAAAGGTGTGGGTGAGCTTCTGCTTCTGAGTTTCTACTTCTCTTTTTAGGGAAATATTCTGCCTTTTTAATATTTCCTAGGATATTTCATTTTTCTAGGAGAGGGGTAGATGCTAACTTCCTACCGTCTGATAGGACAAAATATAAAAAACAAACAGCATAAGGTAAATTTGGGAGAGTTTTCTTTCATTACATCTTAATTCAGGCTGAATTTACACAAACCAATTCTGAATAGGCAGAATTCAATATGAATTTTGCATTAACTATCAAAATCCAAAAGGTAGAGGAAAAAAATGTGACAATAGTATTCCTGGCCATCGACATCTGTGCATTGGTTCACCCCGATACTCCCATGATTTTTTTCAACTTGCTCTGTTTATTTGAAGATAAATAAATGCCACCTTGACCAAGCAAAGAACACAACGGAAACCACTATTCCATTCAAAATAAGAAATAACATTCATTTTCCCTATTGCAGACAAATAGGTTGATTAACAGCATGGCATTATATTATGCTAACACATGAGCCTACAATATCCTGGTTTGGCCACATATGAAAGTTATCTGAGTTAAATGCTGTCATACTTATTGAAACAAATAGAAAGTTAAACCACAGTTTCTCAATCTTAGCAATTTTAAAAAGTGTGGGCTTCAACTCCCAGAATTCCTTAGATAACATATATAGGTAGAGGTAGTGAGAAAGTATTCAGAGAGACCTAAAGTGCTTAGAATCTTTTTTTAATGTTCCCAAATAGTCTTGCTGATATATTAATATCTATCTCTCCAAGGTACTTTTCAAGTGTTGGTTAGGGTGATATCTGCAAGAGATTGGATTTTCTACCAGAACTGGAATTTCCCTTTTCCTTTTGTGTAGAACAAGCAGTAAAACCCAAAACCCTTTTTCAAGTTGTAGAAGGTAGCACCCACCCCTCTCCTAGAAGAATAAAATATTTTGAGAAATATTAAAAAAGGAAGAATATTATATTTCCCTGGATGAGAAATGGAGAAATGTGTTTTTTAGAGGGAGAAAGCAGCCCCCACCTTTTTAAATTGCCCTCAGCAAATGTCAGCACTTAAGAGATAAAGAGATAGATAGTTCTATTCATAAGCAAATATCCTCACCCAAGATCCAACACAGGATATTTTGAAATTCCCTGCAGGAAGGTCTGAACAAAGGTAGGATTAGCCCTCAGCCACAATAGGAATTGCCCAATGCCTCTTCATTGCATCAATCTCAGAAACTTCAATCAAACTTAGCTCAGACAAACACCTAGATTTGTACTTTGCCTATATAGCCAGCTATGACCCTTACATCCCTGTATGGCCCCGTAGGAGTCTGACAGCAGCCAATAGAATACATGTTCTTACACAAGCTTTGCTCAAGTGCAAAGCTTTAAAAAGGTATAAAAAACCCCCACTCTCCACTCCATTTTGCCCAGAACCCATGTGGTTCTGCTTCACCATTAAGCCATCTTTCCAATCAGCTTCCACGTTTCCAGTGTCTTTCTCCCTGCTTGGAACTGAGCCAGATTGATATTTCTTCCCACACAGTGTCGTCTATTTTCTAAAAGTACAATAAGTTGGTGAATGGTAGGAAAAGTGGGTAAAATATCTGACCTAGGAAATAAATGGAAGCCTCACACCCTGCAGTAACTTCTTGCAAGGATTCAAATCTCCAAGTCAGTCTACAACCATAATAAATGGTTCATTCTTCATGCCAATATTTTCCGTTATGCTTATCATTGGCTTTTGTTTTCTGAAAATTTTCTACATTTTGAGGTAAACTTCCTCCCACATCTCTTGCCTTTGAAGTCCATGGATTAAAAATAGCAGGAAGTAAGAATAAGTGAGGCACTGGATGAGTGTGTTAATACGACTTGTATTCCCACTGGTTTGTGGTGCAATATGATTCTTTGGAGGCAACACTTAAAGCTCCCCATATATTTGCTAAGTAGAAATATTCATTTCCTCCTTGAATATATTTTTATTTGTTAAGGCATAATTGGGGGAGGAAAATGTATGTATTATCTGTGTGTATGTATATATGTACACACACACACATACATATACGTATACAAGTACAATGCCTTATTGGATGCAACTATTTCCATTTGTGCTCTGTAATAGTATACAGAATATTATTATTAGTGTCCCTGGTGTAAAAACAATTCTCACATAAAAGACAAGCAGAACACATACTTCTAACATTTTTCCAGAGATCAGGAGGAGTGAGGGCAATACTATAGATGGAATTGTAGTTTTTAGGTACATCCCAAGTCTGCATGTCTGAAGATTATAGAAACTACTGTTCCAAAGTGTGTTCTGTTTGCTGTGTTTCTAATTAGCAATCATACATAATTGCTGGTTAGTAATTGGATGAAGGACCCTCAGGAAATTCTAGCAATGACATAGAGGCCCATTTCAGCTACCTAAATTTGCCTATTTATTCAAAACATTAAAAGAAACCAGGCCATATAAAATATGTTTTTTCTTTCTTTGTGTTTGATTCTCAGAGACTACCTGGGTAAATCCCTGCAGTTTTCTCATCAAGATTTTTCAGAAGTGGTTTGTCATTGCCTCCTTCATCACACTGAGTGTGACTGGCACAAAGTCACCAAGCAGGTTATGTACCTAAAGCAGGACTAGAAATTACATAAGGTGACCAACCGTCCTCCTTTAGGGAGGACAGTCCTCCTTTTGTAAATGCTGTCCTCTCTCAAAAAGTGTCCTCCTACATGTCCTCCTTTTTGATATTTGAAGACCAATCTGTAAATCTCCGTATTTGATCGATGCCGATCCTATCCGTTGTGTGTGATGTAACGTATTTGTATTTGACATGACGATTTGGCAAGGCTCGGTACAGTGCGGCGAGGTGCAATTATGAGACGCATGCATTCCACACAGAAGAATTGTTTTGAGAGAGTGCACCATGCACAAGAGTGCACCACACGCAAGAGTGCGCCGCGTGCAAGGGTGCACCACAC